TGTTCAAATTTATCGAGTGGATTTTTGACAGCCTACGCTATTTTTGTAATAACTTCTTTAAGACGTTTGCAGTACAGATGCATCTGGAGTACATTATTAGCTGAGATGCAGCATAGCCATTAAAACATCTCTTTCGTGGTCTGATTGGTGGACGTCAGCCAATTATTTAAATTCGAGTGCGTCGGAGACTTTAAAGGTGGCTTCGCTGGGTGCCGGTTTATTTTTCTAGCTTTGCTTCATGAGTGTATTCATATCCTCTCCGTTAGATATTCCAGCAATCTCTCATTCAATGAAGGACCTTCAGGACGTTTTGGATGCACATGGTTATCGCGTTGCCTCACTGTTTATACCTGATAAGCCAAGTGATGAAAGCGGAGAAAAAACTGAGTTACAACTTAGCAACCTGCAACATCCCATAAACATCTGCTTTAGTTCAGAAGTCTCTTCTCTCTCTCAAAAACCTGCTAAAGCCTCACTTGAATATGAAAAGCTAGTTGATTTTCTCAAGCACTTGTCGTCAAATTCGTCGAACGACTTTAGTGTTCTTGCGCAGGCATTGGTTGCTAGTTTGGAGGTGCAGATAGGTGATCTCATGGCTTATGATAGGCCGACCTACATCTCTCTCGTTGCTGAGGCTCTGGACATCGTTGAACGGACAAAACCGGAGAATTCTCACACCTTCGACTCCGAGCTAGTTTCCATTTACATCTCCCCATTCGACAATGATTTCCTCCTTGCATTAACACGCGTTTTAAAGGCTCTTGCGCATGGGGAGGGAGTTATTGTTTATTGTGCCTCGTTACGGCTGATGCTACCTTTGTTCGTGTTCACAAAGCGCGCTATTGCTGCTGGTGCTCCACCACATTCTATCACGTTTCTGCCTCTCAAAAAAGTCGATAAAAAGGACTCTTATGCATCTTCAACTCAAATTATCATGAAACCTGCCGACTTGGATAGTGCTGCGAGGGCGATTGTGAAGGGCGCCTCCTATCATGCTGGAACATCATCATGGCGTCCGTCAGTGGTTCTAGTTGAACAATCTTACGAGAATGACTTCCATAAGAGGGTGAAGAATCTGATTTCCAGTGCAGTTCACGCAACTGATGCCCTGAATGAAAACTCACATCTTCTCAACTGCTGCGCCATCCCATCTTACTTAAAAGAGGATTTAGACGTGTTTCTTGAATTGGCTTCGAAAGATGGTGGAGAAATCCTTCGTCCTTCGGATGCTACTGGTCCTGTTTTCATCTTTGGTCTTACTCCAGCCTCGGCGGTGTTGGACAAGGCCAAGCGTTTTCCACTTGGTCCTTTCACTTTTGTCATGCCTTTCCGTACAGTGAAAGAAGGCCTTAAACTGGCCAAGTACTTCAGCGATCGTGAAGTTCGTGTTTTGGGAGCTGGCGAGTACGCAAATTACATTCCTAAATTGGCCACAATTTGGACAGAGAACTCCAGTCTCTCCCTTCAGGTGCTCGCTAGGCTGTCTGGTTACACAACACTTGGAGTGAATTCTGACATTCACCGTCTTTCTGCCTCATTTTACCTATCTGAGTGCTCTGCTAGTGTTCCGAATGTTCATTTTCCCGGTCTCCCCGTTCCTGTGAATGAGATCTTCCGCAATGTCAATGCGAATGCTGCTGCTGAACTGTCTAAGACCATTGCTTCTACAGAGAAGCTGTTCCAGGCCTGGAGGCAAATCCCTCTTGATAGGCGACTCAGGACGTTTACGCCTTGCGAAGACCTAGCTTCTATCATCCCCAAATTAGAACAGCTTAACTGTGACATCTTGGCTCAGCTTGCTCCAGACTGTACGCATCTAACTTTTGATGAGCGGTTGAACTGCGCTTTCAAAAATGGGCGTCTCTGCCTTCTCACTAAATGGCAGGAACCTTGTGGAACAGTGATCATTGTCCTTAAGTCTGGAGAATTATTGCTCGAGCTCAAGGAGCTGATCCTCTCCTCAATCGTTCTGGGCAATGTTGTAGTTCTAGCAGTGCCTAAGTCCGTCACACTCAACGAAGAGGTGCATGCCTTCTGTGGCACGATAAACCAGCTTGTTACACAATGTTGCCCTTCTCTTGGCTTATTGGGACTCATTGTTCAAACGAAGCAGTTTGATGTTTGCCCTAAGGGTATCTCTTCGGCTCTTTCCAGTCTTGCGGTGTCTGGAGTCATCTGTATCTCCGCCCCCGAAGGGGAGTGTGTTACGGCTCGAGTAGATGTGAAGAGTCTCTGCCACTTTACCTCAGTTTTCTGGTCTCTGGGTGGTGATCTCTTTGCCAACTAGTCCGGCCTTTCCGAAGGTCGAGTAGTAGTCCTGCCTCGCCCATTATTGCTGCTAGTACTTATAGTTCTGTCTTCCTCTGTGGCTCAAATAAATCTTTTCTATCCTATTTCAGACTCTTCATGTTCAGCAGTGGATAATTTGTTCAAATATCGCTCCTTGCGATAGCTCTCTGATGCTGTTGTCGAGGTTATTGCAACCTTAAAAATCAAGCAATATGGTTTTTGATTTTTGTTTGTTGAGGGAAACTGGCCAGGTTGGGACTTTGGTGTTTTCGTTGTGCCATCGAATCGGAGGTTTTATGTTCATGCGTCAATGTAATTGACACGGCATCAGAACCACGATAAGTTGAATGAAGTCGTTTCTTTAGTTGTATTGAACTCGGATTACTGACACAATTCATGGTGGAGGTATGATGGTGGTTTGTTTTTGAGGTGTCATGCCATTAACTAATCCACTGATAGGACAATTTTTTTGGCAGTCATTGTGTCTAAACCAGTGACACAGTCAAGGCTATCGATGGCTAGATGTGCTGTGGTCCAACTACTCCTGCTATTTGCACAACATGATCAAATTTGGTCTGCCTGCATATGGTGTCATCGGGTGGACTGTGGTGACATGGTGCTTCTATTTCGGGTAACCTGAATTGCAGCTTATCCGGATAGCATGCTTCATTGCGAACCTTTTTGGCCGACTCTCTACTCAAAACTTGGCGCGAGAACCCAAATTCTAAAGTTGAAAGTTGAAAGATGCCTTAACTGTTCAGTATTAAAATCACACCCTACCATAAATCACCGTATGTATTGCAGCGAAGTGTGAGCACATCGATGAGGTCTCTGAAGTCTGTTTACAGTGGAAGGATTTTGCCGAATCTGTGTTTCAGATGAATGTCAGCCGAAGTATAATTAGACATCAGTTTTGTAAAATTAAAGCAAATTGCATTTCGCTTGTAGCATAAACCCTACGCTTTGTTAAACCAAACTTTCCTTTTCTGAAATGAAGGCTAAAGTATCATGAGGCCCTTCCATATGGTAGTAACGCAGTGTTTCATTTTACGCTTCCTCACTTCGATTATCAACCTTGTCCTACGTGAAGTTCACAGTGCTGATGCGATCCAAGCAAAGGTGATGTGCAAGTTTGGTGCGTATAAGTCCCCTTCTAGTGCCCTCTAGGAGCACAGGCTACTTGAGTACTTCACCGTCGCTTAAAGCGTGCACAGATGTTTGGTGCCAGTCTGCCTACGTCACAATGGTGTGCATATGTAGCTCCACCTCACAACGCCCTGGCCTGATGTCGTCTCACTTTTCAAAACGCTACTAGCCTGACTCTGCAGTGCCGCTTTGTCAGCAGGAAGCATTGTTAATGTCGTTCAGTGGTGGAGTAGTGGTGCTGCCAAACTCTCCCACAGGTAGCAGAATTAGTGAGAAGAAGTGCATGCGATTCTACCGGTGTTAAGAAGATTGTCGATAGTCGTTCTCTCGAGTAATGCACGCATCAAAATGCGAATGGCTTTTAAGTGCTTTTCTCTCCTTTTTGAGTCAAATACGACATTAAAATGTCAAAATACCAACTGTAGACTGCAAATGCTTTCTTCATGTGGGTTAGGAAAAAGTGTACTCAAAGAATTCCGATGCAGTTGATTCAGTCAATCAAGTGATGAGGTACCCCTAAATGCATAAATTCTTTTTAGCACTTAGGAGGTGTGCCTCTACAAGATCGGACCCAACGTTCCGAGACTTCCTGCTATGTAGAAGAAGGCATTAACTGAAGTGGAACTCTAACTTGGCCTGCAGGCCATCACACTCAGCCTGGGGCAAGGTGAACGCCAAAAGTGACCGCCAGTTCAACAGATAATCAAAGAAACAATGTATTACATCAAGTCCTGGTGAATATGGGATCTCAGGCAAGGTTCAACAAAAAATTGGAGGCCATAAACCTTCTGGAGGATCTGCAGCACCCATGATAGAGTTGATGAAAGGAATAGACATTGTCAAGGCTTAAAAGGAGTGCTCACAGCAAACGTATTTTAGCATTTTTATCATATAAAATGAGGAAAAATTGTGTCTCTGAGATCCCTTAAAAGGATAATGGTGCGCGTCTTTTCAATGCACAGGTTACTAGCCAAATCGCTAGAGCAAGTTCACTTCACGCACGCAGAAGTCGTGAGCACAGAGGCCTTTGATTGTGACACAGGGGTTGTGCGTTGGTTATCGGGAAGGTCATGACTGAGCAAAAGAAACAGCTCTAGATTACGAGAATGGAGGTATTTATTACCACGGGTTAGTCAGAACTTCAACTTCAAGGGACTCCAGCTGCTAAAAATAATGACAGTCTGAGTTGTCTCGTAAATTCCTCCTATCTTTGCAATTAAATTTGCCTCATTTGCTTGATTGTAGGGATTCAAATGTCTGACAAGATGAAGAGGCTCTTGCCTTGTCGCCACTTTTAAACAGATCAATAGGGACACTTGGATGACCCAGGAACCGCCAAATAAAATGCCCTTGAAATGGGTAGAGGTGGTTGTCGCTGTCTTCTTTCTCCTTCTTCTGTTTTCAGGATGCCTTAGCGATGAGGGAATTCCCTTCGAACTCATGCCGTTGAGATGTGATAAATATTCCAATTTTGAGGTGCTCTGCAAGTCAGCCTGCCAGGATATCCTCATTTTAGAATTCGGTTTTTGTGGCGAATTAATTCGCTTCACGGACTATCATTACAATTTGAGAGAACTGACGATTTCCCTGGGCAGTGTTTTCGACGTAGGTCTTTTCCGGTCCTAAGCTTAGCGATTTATTTCGGTTTGACACCTTTTTTCAACCCTAAAGGTGTTAGGTCCTCTTTCAATGCCACTTGTTAGAGGCTGAAATATGGAGTTTCTCCGCTCCGCCAAAAATAATATTCCAGCAGAAAATTCATACTTCGAGATGTACTTACCAAACATTTCCACCTATTTTCGATTAGATGTTGGTTAAAACCCCAAGCATTCGTGGAATTTGTGGAAATGACATGCTGAATTTAATGCACGTTAGATGATAACCCAATTTGAGGTGGATCCTTCTGTGCTTTCCTAATGCAGTGCTTTGGCACAAAACCACTTCTCACATTATAGTTAAGCTTTCGTTTATTTGTACAACTACTAAAATATCTTCCTCACTGAGGAAAAAATCCTCTAGCCGTTAATAAGGGTGCAACTTATGCAACTCGCTTAACCTAGACGAAGTGAAGGAACTAGGACTATTGGCGCTGTCCAGCGACCAGTTCACCCGAAGCAGTCCAAACGGCCAATCAAGAATTTGGTAAGCAAAACGAGGAAGGACACAAGCACACGCGAGCTAACCGCTTAACCCATTAACATCCC